TAAGTCTAATTTTCCAAAGTGGGCCTAGTTCCGACGCCGTCAAAGTTCCATGTCGGATTATCGGAACCGTGGAATGTGCTGCGTGGCCGACCGTCGGCGAATTTCAGCCTTCAGATTTGTAGACTTCGCAAGTATATTTTAACTAACTTCGGAGTTCGGCGCGCCGGAGTTTTCGGAGTCGGAATCACTGGCTACTAGCTAGGCTAGCTAGGCTAGGCTCGAGCCTAGGCCCTAGCTAGCCTAGTGTCAGTGGTCAGTGGCAGTGACTTCGGCCGAGTCAAATTCGATCGAAATTTAAACTCGGAACTCCGAAAATTAACGACGGCCGTAGACTCTGCCACGCGGCTAAAGCCACGGCTCGGATGATCCGACGTGGAACTTTGACGGCGTCGGAACTAGGCCCCGAACTCACCAAGCTCAGATGCCTTATGTTGAAGTTGGACTTGGAGGTTTCAGGCATGTGAAAATATAATCTGGTTTTGGAGTCGGCAGGCTATATGTAACTCAGTTCGACGCAGGACGTTCGACAGTCCCTGGTGCAACTTATATTACAGATTTCGAAGTCCTTGTCATCGAGCGTTACATCGAGTTTTCAAAAAAATGGATCAGGAAATCCAATACCCTGGTAACGGAAATTGAGGCGAATACAAAGCTTGAAAGGCTTCCGTAGCTGAGCTCATTCACAGCAAAGCTCATTCACAGCAAAGGGGGATCGAGCCCTCCAGGTGGGCCTCCAGGGCCTGGCCGGCCTGCGCACATTAGAATTTAGAATCTTCTTTAGGCAGTGCCTAATAGCGTGCTCAATGCTTTCCTCCCTGTAGCTGGCTTTTCCATGCCGGTGGTGGTCATTGATGCAGCGAATCAAACCGTCACCGAGGGGTGTGTCTTGTGTGAGCTCTTGGAGCGAGACGTGAAAAATGACAAGACTTGCTCGCTTTGAGTCAATCACAGAAAGCCCTCCTGATGTCCGCAGGCCTAAGCAAGGAGGCTCCGCCGAAAGCGCTTCAATGGTGGCGTTGTGATTTAGTCCTCCAATTGTCGCGGTCCTCAGCAAAGCTCCACCTCCCGCTATGCGACCCAACGGTGGTGCGCGCCGGGCAGGGCCCGTTCGCACCCCCTTCCAGCTGGTCTCTCTGGGGGACCTTTCCAAGCAGGGGCTTGCCCCCCGCGTTGAAAGTCTTGCGGTCAGCGTTGATTCCAAAGAGCTCGTCGCCAGCATATACATAGGCACTTCAGATGGGCAGGTGCTTTTGTTCTCCCTGGCCCTCCAGGGGGGTGGCTCCAGCAGGGCCGGCAGCCCCACCCCGAGCACCGCCCCCTCGCTGTCAAACCCCTCCACTCCCCAGTCGCTCTCCAGCGTCACGTCTGTTGAGGAACCTCCTTCCCCCGCTTTCCTTGTCGCCTCGCACAAACTGGGCAAAACCCCAGTGGACTCATTGTGCGAGCTGCCGGCGGCCAATCAGATCGCAGCCTTGTGTGAGGGGCACGTCACGCTGCTCGGGAAGAAAGCCCTCGATGCCCCAGTGCACATGGCTGCGGTGCAGGGGGGGGCGCTAATGGCCTGCGATTTGAGCCCCCTTGAAGAGAGCGATGACCTGGGCTGGCTGAGAAGCATGCCAGGGGACGATCCAGAGGGGGGAGAGGCCGCACGGGTGGCGCTGAAGAGCCAAAGAAGGAAGGGACTGCAGCGCTTGTTTGGGGGGAAGCAGCGGGTGTCAGATTCTCGAACAGATGTTAGCTCAGATGATTCTCGACAGGACCCTGTTGAGATCAGAAAACTGCAGCGGTTGGTCGTGGGCACCCGTCGGAAGCTGCTTATCTTTGGGGTGCCTACGGAGCGGGATTCTGACCACCCGGTTGTTCTTTTGAGGGAAATTGTAACCCCTGAACCGGCGCTGCGGCTAGCGTGGTACGGCCCCACTATGATTTTGGGCACACGGGGGGGGTACGTCCTGATGGACTTGCGCAAAGGGGAGGGTGGCAATCTCCTCTTCTCCCTGCCAAGCGACTCGTCACGCCCCCCGCTTCTGAAACCCCTGACGAATGTCAACGGAGCCCCGGGCGAATTGGTCCTGTTTGCCGACAACCTGGGCATCGTCGTCAATCCAGGGGGGCAGCCCACAGGCGCTTCGTACCTTCTCAAAGCCCCCCCGGAAACGGTGGGCCACACGGCCAAGTATCTTCTGGCGGTTGCGGAGGGGCAGCTCGACGTTGTGCGCAGGAAAGGGGGGGTGATTGTGCAGAACCTGGCATTGGGGGGCAAGCGGGGGGCCGTTCTGGGGCCAAGTGTCGCGGCCGATGATTCAGGGGGCCGGTGCACGGTGGTTGCATCAAACGCCAGGCTATGGTGGGCACAGCCGACACCGTTGGAGGAGCAGGCCAAGGAACTGCTGAGGCAAAGGGAGGTGGGCACCGAAACATTGCCTTCACAAGCTTTCTATGTTTCTCTGTACGTGACTTGTCAAGGTAAATCAGCTTTTTAGAATGCTTATATCGATTGCTGCTGTCATCTCTGCGGATTTGTCGTACACGCTGGTCGAAGAGGGCACCCATAGGCACTCAGCTCCTTAAAAATTGCATATTTTGAATTCGTCTATCATGACGCACTGACAATGACCTTGGTCGACATCTCTTCCTACCACCTCCTTGTCTCCCTCAAGTATCGACTGGGGAGTGAAAGCATTGCAAAAGATTGATAATGTTTGACGTTTAGAGACGTGAGCTTTCCTCAGCGTGGTCAGTTGTCCAAGCCATCAGAAGTTTGGCAAAGTTGTACCCTTCATTTGTCTCTACCCCTGATACTAACGGGTATTGATCTGTGTGAACCATCATCGATTCGCAAGGGAGCATAAGACAAAGTACTCATGATCCCTTCGAGTTCTTCGATACATGAGCCTGCAAAGAGCGCTTGTATGTGCCACGTTTACCATCTTGTTAAGGCACGTTCCACCATACTTCGCCCATCACATCCTGCTGGTCCTGAGTTTCTTGCCCTACTTGCAGATAGACGAGGGCGTTGCCCTGATTGAAGAGGCCGTTCCCGCTTCCTCCGACGCTTCCCTCCCCTCCCTCCTGGCCACCGTGCACGCTGAAGCGGGATTCATTCAATTCAACGAGCTGCACTTCGATTCGGCGATAGACCACTTTCTGCGATCCTCCACCTTCGAGGCCCCCGAATTGTTCCCTTTCTTCCCGACCTACACCGCCAAATGGCGCTCCATCGTGCCTCGAAAGCGCTACTGGGGCCTGCACCCGCCTCCCCAGGTACATACGTGATTTCAGACTTCCGGCTATCTACGGAAATGTCGTTCACCCTTTCCGAGCCACGTTTTGTGGCGTCCAGCCTGGCACTCCTCAATGCTTTGCAGATCCTGAATGTTTGCGAACTTGTTTTTGCGAAGCCAAGGGTTGTTACACGTCCCAACAAATGCGCACAGATCAGTGTCAAAGCTTGACCCCTCGTTCAAGCCACTGAACGGAGGCGCTGGTGTAGCTTAAGAAGCAAGAGAAGGCAGAATGAGTTCTCTGCTGAGTTACATAAAGGGCTTATTACGTTTTGCACCATCTAGAAGGTTGTCTGAACTGCATTCTTAGACCTCTCCAGGCCATCAAGAAAGTGGTCGACAACGGGCTTTTCCAGCGGCAGAACACCCTCGGCAGGCTGCAGATCGGCCCCGACTCAGAGCCCACTACCGACCCGGCCGCACTCATCAAGGACGCCAAGCGGAGCGTCACCCGGTACCTCGCAACGGTCCGTTCCAGGCGGCAGCCCATTCCCACCCCCAGTGTGAATGCGCCCCCGGCAGCAAGCGCGGCGAAGACCTCACGCCGAGGCGTCAGCATGTTGACCCTCAATGAGCGCGGCTCCCAAGGGGCGGGTGTGAATGCGCCATTCGGCGGTGTGAACGCGCTTGAGGCGCAGGGGGTGGACACGCTGCTGGTGCGCCTGTACGCTGACGTCGGCGAGGTCGCGGCGCTCGAGGCGCTCGCTCGGGAAGCACATGCGTGCGTCCTGGACGAGGTCGAGGGGCCGCTGCGCGCGGCGGGCCGCTTCCACGCGCTCGCGCTGCTGCTCGAAACAGGGGGGCAGCTGAGCCGGGCCCTGAGTGTGTGGGAAGCTCTGGTTGAGGGGGGGGTCCAGGAAGCGGAGGCGCCTATGGGGGCTGTAGCGGAGGAAAAAGGACGTGCCTCGGAAGAAAGCGCTCGGAAAGAGGGGCCCGGGGAGGTCGTTGAGACGGGGGAAAGCAGTGCAACGGCTGAAGCCCTCAGGGAAGAAGAGGCGGGCGGTTTAGATGAGGAGGGCGACTTCGAAGGGCCGCGGCTGCTAGCGCAGGTCGCCTCCCTGAGCACTCGGGAGTTTGGCTCGTTCCGCTCGTCCTCGTTCCGGTCGACAGTCGGCAGCCCACGAGGAACGGAACCGATGAGCCCACGGCGCTCTTCTAGTCTGTTCTCGAGCGGCCGGGGAACCGGAGTGCGGGGGATCCCTCTGCGGAGTCGTTTGAGCGGGCAGGCGGCCGTGGGCGCGGAGAATGCGGCAAGGGTTTTAAAGCGAACGTCGGATATGGGGCTGGTTCTGGAGCACGGACGGTGGCTCGTTCGGCTGGATCCTGAGCTGGCGCTCGCCGCATTCACGGCAGAAGAGCGGGGGGCGCCGCTGCCAGCAGGTGGGCGCAAACGCGATTTTGAGTTCCTCGAACATTAGCCTTGTGAGGGGTATTTCTAAGAGGACTCTATGCGATGTAGAGATATAGCGTCTTCATAGGGAGTTGTTTCAGGTTCGATAGCCAGAGCACATGAGAGAACAGCGCTTCGAACTATCTATTCCGAGAACTGGAAGCCCGGACCTTCGCTCATGACACTCCTCGACCAAGCTCTTTGCTAATCACTCAACCTTGCCTTTGCGTGTATACTAGCGAGGCAGGAAGCTCGCAATTGTACATTCAATGCTGAAGGAACAACGCCGCAGTCTTTGGCGGCTTTTCAAGACGGCGTTGCAAAAAATGAACAGCTGCCAATAGCTTAACCTGGTTTGGTCCGCGATCGTGCAGACCAGGTGCTGGCGCTGCTGCGGCAGGAGGACGCGCGCATCTGGAGGGCGTATTTACACTGGGTCGTGGAGGAGCAGGGCACACAGGACAGCCGCCTCCACACCGAGCTCGCCATCGCGCTCGCGCAGGCCGCGCTGGCAAAGATGGCGGAGACAGGAACGGACGGAGCGGAGTCGAGCGAAACGGAATGGGGCAGAGTCGAGGGGTCTGAATCGGGAGTGGGTTTGGTAGACGATTTCAGGGAGGGCTTAACTGAAGATACGGGGGCCAGCGTCAGTGGGTCTCCAATCGGCGGCGGTAGGAAGTTCAAAAACGACGATACAGAGGGCAACCGGGGAACGGAGTCCGAAGCCCGGGCAAGGGACGTGTCTCTCGAGCAGCTCAGCGGAAATGGTCGAGAGAAGAAGGTGACATCAGCAGGGGCCCAGAAGACGGTGGTGTCTGGTCGATCAGGGAGTGCAAAAGCGCGCGACGGCGTGGGGACGGTGTCGGACGTCCGGCGGCAGCTGCAGGCGTTTTTGGACGAGTCCGACAATTACGAGATCGGTGCCGTGCTGGATAAGATCCGGGGGTCGGAGCTGTGGCGGGAGCAGGTGGGCCGCTGATGCTCGTTGGCGATGGGCTACTCGACAGTCCAGTAGATCATTTGAAGCCGACTATTTTGAACATTCTTCATTTTTCCAGGCAAGAAGCGCCTTTAGGCAACCAGGGCTCCGTTTGAAGAAACGGTCGTCGCTTTTGAAAGGAAGCTTCAAAGGTGGCTGGCGGATCGCCCGACAGAATGAGTGCCTTTGCTTCCATTCGGCCAGGATCCACATCAAAACTTGAAAGGTACTCGCGAGTAGTTTTGAACCGCTCGGCGTCTCTGTCCTTTTCGCCGGTCCCGCCTCCTTCTGAATATTCTTTTCGGGTTCCGCTCCTTTGACCACCATCGATAAACGCTTTCCCTCCTTCCATGCAGGTGATACTGTACCGGCGGGGGGGTGACCACGTGGCAGCCCTGAAAGTGCTCGCGCTGTAAGACACCGCTCGCGACCCTCGAAGTGATGGTTGTGTAGACCACTTGACCACTTTGTGCCACTAGATTACTGCTCTAAACGGACTATTGCTCAACCAGCTTCCAGAACGTTCTTCTATGTTCATTACTGTTTCATCGCAGGACCCAATGATTGCCCACTTTGGGAAACTCAAGGAAATGGCCACTTAAAAGACTTTACACCACCACCATTTATACGGAGGTTGAGTCATTACTGCCTTCCTCTCCTCACTTGCAGGAAGCTCGGAGATGTGGAAGGTGCAGAGCAGTACTGCGCACATCACGGGGGGCCTGACTCGTATGCAAAGTGAGACGCTCCGCAAAACTCTAGCTTGTCGAGTTCTATGATTCCGAACCCTAACTTCTTGGGGAGATCATAGTTGGTGCCGACTTTGTTGCGAGGACCGAAGGCCAACTTCGCGTAGATACATTGGCATGCGCTCGAGCTATACGAGTCGCAGCTGATTTGAAGAAGGTCTTTCAAACGTCGTGTATTGTGGCTGGATTGAAATTCTTAACGGCCCACAAGGCGTTCTGCTTCATAGGTTTCTTATATAGCTCGCCTGCTGCTCGAAAGAGCAGGCATGCGGTCCGCCTTTTGACGGCTCCGGCAGTGCATGTTGGTCCCCGATGCTGCGGGTCAGGACATGGCCCAACCATTTTCCGCGGGATGTCGCCCTGCCTCCTAGAACCTGCACAGATCTTCATCTGCTCTAACTCAAATTGCAAGGTGATGCTCGCTGGATTCGCCTTTGCAGTGGAGACTGACCCTTTTGGCACAGATTAGGGCGACCATGCTGGTTTTGTTGAACTGCGGTCAGTCGCCTGCTTGCGATTCAAATATCTTCTTTGCCTTGTCTCCCAGCCTCCTGGAGATGTACCTGCACCCCGGCGACGGGCGGACACCGATGCACGCGGCCGCGGTGCGCCTGCTGCATTGCCACGGGGCCGCGCTGGACCCTCTAAAGGTTCTCGAGGTAAGCCCATGAGACCAGTGTCACTACTGGCGTCCTTGATGACCTGCGATGTGACCCTTCGGAACGGTTGATTGCTTCCCTGCTTTGCAAGAGGCATGTGTTCTTGAACAGGTTGGTGTTGACTGTGTGAAAGTTGTTGAGACACGAGCCGTTCATTTGTAAGAGTGATTGGCATATGAACCAATGCATCCTGCATACCCCTGAGCAATCTTCTAAAATAACATCTGAAACATCTGGAATACCTGCCTAAAAATATTTTGGAGCAGATAGAGAATGCACTTGAAGTACGGTCTTCCTTACGCCTGGTTGACTTTTTACATGGCGCTTATTTACCCTGCTGGCCTGCAGGCCCTCCCTCCGGACATGCCACTGGCGGCGGCGGCGGAGACTATTGCGCGGCTGCTCCGGGAGAGAGTGCACCGGCACCGTCAGGGACAGGTGCGCCCCAATTACCCGACTGCTCACAATATGAGAAAAAGAGGGCCAACCGCTTTACGGCCCTTCATACAGGGCACCTCAGCGTTTTCATTCGCTCTTCTTGATGACCAAGTTTGGGGTGTAATTCCTGGGTGCTCTTACAAGGGCGCCAATTAAAGGGGAGAAGCAGGGACGAACAATCCACGATGTCTGCAAGCAACTCCTCTCTTTGCCCATCATCGGTGAACAGGTGGGCTAAAATTGCTCACGAACAACTATTCATCAACTGGCGCTAGGGTACCACGAAAAGGCGACGATTTTCGGCTTGTCTGTTCGAAGGAAGCCTTCCTCATCTCCCTTTTGCCCCTTCTCAGATCTTTTGCAAAGATGGTATCCACTTGTTAGGGCCTCCATCGAATGATCCACTTTGCGCGACCAAACGGCGTTCTAGCACAAACTCACCAGCTCGTTCTCATAGTCGACGCCTCTTCTCATTGAAAAGGATCTGCGTGCAGTGGGAAAGGCTTTGCTGACGTTCCTGCGGCGTCAGGCTGACGAAGTCGGCTTCCCTTTCCCGCAGATCGTGCACCACCTGACGCGCAAGGCCAATTTCGACGCGCGACTTGCGCGCGTGCAGGAGCGGGTGCGGTGCGTGGAGCTGACCGACGAGCGCGCGTGCTGGGCGTGCCACGCGCGCATCGGGACCAAGCTGTGCGCGCTCTACCCCAACAATGTCCTCGTCTGCTACAAGGTGCGCGCGCACGTCATGGTTAAGCAGATTGTTTGCTCTAACGTGTCCCTGAAGAGATGACTGCATCAATCTTGCGTTCCCTCATGAAGGCCGTCGTGGTGTGAGGGTTCGGCAGAGGATATGAGGTCAGTGGAGAAGCCACTTGCCTCAATCCAGATTTCAAATCCCCTGGCGGCTATGGCCTAGCCTGCCCGTGGCTAAAGGTTCGGAGGGGATCTTGAATCGACTCGGTCGCGAGATAGTTTTCATTCCTGGCGCAGCCTGACTTCGCCATTTTGTCGAACGTTCTTGTCCTGATTTGTGGGAGGCTATCTTTCATCTCCACCAGCATGTTTTTTGCGTGGTTTTTGGTGAGCATTCTGATGACCTGGGCGTTTTATCGTCACCGCACGCACCATTGTCTGTACCTTGCATTTCGTCAACTTTTCCGGCATCCGCCTCGACCGATTGCTGTCGGTGCGCTATCTCCACACAATTGACGCAATTTCTGACCCAAGTCGAGTGAAGCTACGGTTCACGCTCTCCTAAAGTAGTAGGAAAACCGGACCCCACAGGACGCATCTGCAGATGTTGACCGGACCTCTGTTTGAAGCGGCACGGGCTTTGTCCTCCTTCGTTGGCAAATCTATTACGATCGAAGAACTCAAGTGGTCTTCCGCCCGTGCAGTGTTTACGGAAGGCCGGGGAGCACGTGTGCCCTGTGACGGGCACCGACTTCAGGGTGATGAACGAGGAGAGATGACACGTTTGCAAAGCTCGCAGGCATCTCTTGCTCACAGGACCGCAGTGGTGTTGGAACCTTGGGGTTCGTTTTGAGACCCGAGCGCTTTGGATGCAAGCCACAATCCACGGCTTCGGCGGCCTTGATCGGTCTCACGTTGTCACCCTTTACTTTTTGCCCATATATGGCCCATATAGGCTGGGCAGCGCAGCCTATGGGTCATATCTTGGAAGGCGATGGCCCAGTGGTGACCCGCACATGTTTGTATGCACATGATCATTCTTTCACAGCATCAATGCACCATCATAACCCGGCGCCGACGGGCCTGACGTCCACTGGCACAGCCGGCTTGCCGCGTTGCTGTACATGTACTGGCGGCAAATACGTCGTCGGATAAGCGCGAGTCACCGATCGCTTTCAATGGGTACTTTTAGAGGTACGTGGATCGTGCAAACGTACACGCTCATATACGTCATGTGGGATCGCGGCCGCACGAGGGAAGCCATGAGAGTGATTGGAAATCGAAGCGATTGTTTATAAGTCGATCACCGGGGCTGAGTCACTACATAAGATCGATTTTACGCATACTACATCATTGGTTCTGCATCCGACAATTCTATGACGCGATGAGCTTGTATACAATTAGCTCTTCAATCGATATGCACAGAGTAGCCGCCACGTTAGCGTTAAGCTTCATGCGACGCATGCGCGTACGTGTACGTCACAGTGCCTAGTTACTGCGCGCACATGTACATGGATGATTGATTGCGAGTGAAAATTGCTCACTTATGCAATGATCCGACTACACATTGAGATGCATTCAATGGTACTTGGCTCGTCGGAATATAAGCGCATGGGCCAGCGGGACTCGACATGATCGAGTCCATGCCGGACCTATAGTCACACATTTGTTGGATCTTAGAGGTGCTGCAGGTGCAGTGACAATGCATTAACATCAAGTCAGTAAGTTCACTTTCCGGCGGCCGTGGCCCTTATGAAGTCTCTACTGCTACGTTCAACGCGTTAGTCTTTTAAGTTATTGGGAAAGCGTTCGTCAAGTCTCGCAGCCGGACGCTTGCAAAATCTTCGACTTGCGCACGGTTCCACGGTTGCATGTTCCTCTCAGATCTGGGGCCTCAAACGCGGAGATCGGGCCGACGACGTCGTAAGTTCTAGTTTCTCTCAAGTCCCAGTTTCAAGCTCAACTCAAGTCAAGACAGATGGACGTCTTCCAAGCCCTTATCGGAAGCTCTCAGTGTGGAGCGATCTCGAGCTCATGGGGGCCTACCACTAGGTTCCCGTGCAAGATATGGTACAACGATAAATATCGGCAAACTATGCACTCAGTCTTCTTGGTGGGCTGCTCGCAATCGCAGGCCCATGCACCACTCACTACTTAGCCTCTCTCCCACGGCTTAGGAGATCCACTTGCTGCTCACCACGGTCAAAATCGCTACAGCTGTTTACTCGCCTGTACACTGAGTCACTGGCGTGCCTCACCTATCGGGGCTTGCGCTTGAACGGAAAAGTCCAGCAGCCGCAAGCCTTACTGCTGTCTGGACAACCTCTGGATCCCGGCGTTTCGAGCTCCTCAATTGCACTGTTCAAAGTCGCCAAAATGGAGGCGAAGTCCGGCCGTTTGCTCGGGTTTGCGTGCCAGCATGCCTGAATCAGGCTCTTGACGGGTGCCGGGCAATCTGGTGGGATCATTGGCCGTCGATGCTGCGAAAGGAAGGGAGGTGGTGAGTATCTGTCAACTTTCTTCGTTCTGTGCTTCTTGAAACATGCAAGTGACATCGTGTGCTCCGTCAACATCTGACCACGGGTACTGAGAAAGACCCTTGCTTATGATCAGGTTCGAGGGCCTCAGACTTGCTGAAAGGAAGGACCCACGAACACATCTGGATGTACATCTAGACGTGCACATGTTGGTTGAGGGGCGGTGTGTACTATTTTCTTCATGCAAGAAAAGCTTTAGGCTGACCTTGTTCACAACTGCAAACGCTGCTTGGACAGCGTTGAGCCCCGCAAACGGGAGCTCCCCCGTCAGCGTCTCCCAGAGGACCAGGCCGAAGCTGTACACGTCAGCTGACCGGTCGTAGGGCCGGTGTCCAATCACCTGCCAGATGTGAAAGCAAGATCTTCAAGGATGAACGAATAGAATTCTAGAACCAACTTGCTAATTTTTTCTATGACACACTATGTGCCAAACGTTGCCAAAGGTTGGGAGTGTAAGCCATCAGTTTCCCCGGTTCGGCTTTTTAGTGATTTCTGAGACGTAGCTGCACTCCTGAACCAGCCATGTGTTTAATATCAGTTGAAACCAAACCCAACAGCTTTCCACCATAACAGCAGAGATCGCAAAACCTTGAAGGTCCTTGAAAGAGACGTTTCGCCACTGAAGATCGTTGTAGCCCAGCTACTGATAGAAACCCACCTCTGGCGCCATGTATCTGTAGGTGCCCGTCTCCGAGGTCATGTCCGAGGGCTCCCCCTCCATGCGCGCAATCCCAAAGTCGGTCAGCTTCACTGTCCCGTCCTCTCCAATAACCATATTCTCCGACTTGCAGTCCCGGTGCAAGATCCCTAAAGAATGCAGGTACCCCAGCCCGCAGGCAATGTCTCGCGCCATCCGAAGCCTCTCTAGATAAGGCGGAGGCTCGAAGGCCTTTTGACGCTCTAAGTAGTTCCTAAGCGATCCTTCCGGGAGGTACTCTGTGACGTGCAGTTGGAGGGGAGGCTGGTCGTAGGCTCCTAGAAACTGCATGCAAGCAAGAGCTGTTTGCAAGGGAGGCTGTGTCCACAATCTGCACTGTTGACCTTCGAATGTACGTGCTAGTTTCCTGGATTATGGAAGGGGCAATCAGAAGAAACTACAGAGTATCCAGACTTGGAATTTGTACAATTTAATACCGTTGACAGCTGTATACAGATTTCTTTATGGATAGAAAAAACTGATTTTTTAGTTATGCGCAGAAGCAGACGCAGGGGGGCGTAAAGCGAACAACTGCATCCAAATGGAATGGCTTTGCTCCTTCATTGACTGTCCGTCTTTTCATTGACTGTCCGCTCTTACTAAACCGCAATCCCAAAGGCGCCGTAGACTTCTGATCTCTTCTTTAATGCCGCTAGCATCAAGACAGAGCACTACAGTTGCCTTGGGGGAGCGAAGAGCCACGTTTTCAACAAGTGTGGAGCAAAGAGCCACTAACAGAGCTGTTGCCCCCTGCTTCGCTCCAATCTCCTTCGGGCAGTGGCTCTTTGCTCCCCGCAGCAAAGAGCAGCGGTGGCGCAGGCGCTAGTCGGTGCATCCGAAAAGGGATAGAAATCATCTAGCCCCAACAGTTCAAGAGCTAAGAGAAGCAGAGTAAGGGTTCAAGGTCTTCAAGCAGGGGCGCTCACCTTGACAATGTTTGGGTGTTGCAACCGAGAAAGAAACCCAACTTCCTGCTGAAAGGTGGGATGGCCGATGCAAGCCGCTGTTTGCTTGAAAACCTTGACAGCCACCTCCTGTAGTATCACATATGCAGCCAGGTGAGTACAGTCACCACAGAAGAAAGAAAAGGCGTCTTTGCTGGCAGAGGTGGATGGGGCAGAAAGAGTTTCCACAATGTGATTAGCGGATGGTTGCCCTAACCTAGCGGTCATAAGCATGTTGACATACAGCATGAGGCTGGTGGTTGTTGGTATGGGCAAGTGGCACAAGACTTGATGATCGTACTTGAACTGTTGTGAACCCATGCCAGGGTTTTAGAAATGCATGGGCCAGCAAAAACCCATGACCACATGCCTGCCACTGTTGAAAGCCTCTTATCTAGGAAGCAAGAATACAGCACCAAACCCTGTAGCCCACCTGCATTTTCGAAAGGAGAGCACAAGGCCCTCGAGGAAGTGCTCAACTCTCAAGCAACACCGAAAAGTGGCCACTTCCTACCTGACCACAATAAGTTCCATAGTATATCCTTCCCGCCGACCCTACCGCAACCACCGCTCCTAGGATAAGGTCCGGTATGCTAACGGAATGAGGCTGCACGCTTTGAGCAACCCCATCATCTTTTGACTCTCTTTCGCTAATAGGCTCTTGGGAAGAAGGGGACCGTTCCTTGAGGACACTCAGCTCTTCAAGATCAATGTGGCGGAGGTGCTTCCTGGGCTGCAAAACGTGAAGAGCTGGTAAGAACCTTGGATCTCAATTAAGTTGATTCTAATGGTTGTTGCTTGGTTTGTTGCAGAGTATCAAAGGAGACGCAGGGTGCCTCTTACATGACTGCCTTTCCTTTGCAACATAATGAGAGGTGTGCAAGGGCATGCGTAAACAGCAGCGACACAACAGCAGACCGCACTTACTTTAATACTTGAGAACGTAGCCCCCAATTGTGCCAAAAGCTCCTCCAGAAACACCCGCTCTCCAACCTGTTGCATCCTCCTGCTGTGACTGCCAGGATTCGAACTGCATGATTGTAGCTCGCTATCGCCATCTCGTGCAATTGTGCTTCGCTCGCTGCTTCCTGCAACATTCCAATGTGATGCGGACAATATGTTTGAGCTAGCCAACCCTGTGCAGCCGACGCAGCCGCCGGACCGGCCCGCAGAATTGTCCTCAGAGCTGCCTGCAGAACAGACCACCAAATCGTCCTTGCTGACTCGCCCTGGATCCCGGTTGTCTCGTGTGCTCGGAAGTCCTGCCGCCATAACTTTCCGCGGCTACATCCAGCTGCTCTCCAGCAATTGCTGCAGCGCTGCCAGCCTGGGTTGAACACGGATCATCCAGCGAAAGGCCATTGGCCAAAGCGTCTGTACTCTATGCGCGCTTCAAAGATTCAAAGGTGGCGAATCCCAGGCCATCATTGACACTGACAGTGAGTTTCCGACATGGTGATCTCAAGCTGGGCGCCCGGCGCTCGTCGCTTACAAGTTACAAAGGGCACATGACGGCATCAAACCGAAAAGTGTGGATCCATCATCCGACACAAACGATTTGTGTCGGATTCAAAGTAACACCACCAAAAGTCAACCCCTGTATTGTGCCCGGTGCCCACCAGTTCCAGGGCGCAGTCGACACTGACCAGATTGTCTTCCTAATTTTGAATTTTACGACTTTTGGTGCGTCGTTGCAGGTCTCGATCCGACTCTCGATACCTAGGTAGGTATGTTACAGGCAATGCCCCGGCAGCGCACCTCCATATTTATGTCTGGCTAACTAATACTTCTGATATCGAGCCCGGGACACCAGCTCTAGCACCCGACCCCGAGGCTCTGTTCGTAAGACCGTACAGCGAGTCAACGCGTGAGGGCATGCTTTGCGGGACGTCATCCTGGATTATTCACAGAGCTCCACGTGACGACTGCTTGACGGCATCGATGAAACCCAGTGTCAACGATCGACGGTCAATGTCATGATCAACTCGTCAAAGCCATATCAAAGCAGAACGCCTTACAACCGTCGGTTGGTTGCGACTGGATCCACGGTTCACTTTCATTTAATTTTTAGGGTTTCAGCTTTGGTGGCATGCGCTCCTTCGGAGTCCTCATGCAGTACGCAATACTTTCGAGCGAGCAGGGGACAACGAGCCCGTTCAGTCTTTTGCCCTGCAACTTGCAAGAAGCTTTGCTGAGCCGCTAAGGAAGGATATGGCTGCCCACATTGTTGAGAAGGCACACGCCCGGGTGGGGTTTCTTGGAAATCCAAGTGACGGATATTTCGGCAAGACAATCTCTTTTCTTCTGCAGAATTTCAGTGCGACCGTGAGATTGGAACCCTCAGACACCTTGAGATTTGTTCCTTCGCTGGAGCACGATCCACAAGAGTTTCTTTCGCTTGAAGCGTTGGTGAGCTTTCCTTTACACCACTACTTTCCCTCCTTGCTTCTAAAGAGTTTTGCCGACGGTCAAGTGATCTATGAAAGGGACCCTCTTCCAAACTCCTTATACAAACAAAGCAAAATTTCAATGTAGCTCTGCTAGTACATTTCGACGCCTGTAGGCCTGAAGATAAGACATCGTGGCACAAGTTGTGTAGGCAGCTCAGTGTGTTTGCAGTTACAGTGTACAGAGCTTAGCTGCAATTGGTGCAGCTTGATCAAGATTGGCTTTTATCGACTGACTTTGAGGAATGCAAAGAACCCCATGGCAGCTGGTGGTGTGATCCAATCGTTGCAGCCATTTTTTTTTACAAGAACAGTTGAAAGTAGGACGTAACTTGGTGGTGAGCTTGACCTCCATGTAACCACTTTCGAGCGTTGCGTGTTGACCATGGCACCATCTACTGTTGCCTGATGCCAATTCTCTCTGGTGCTTGTCGCGAGGACAGGCTGTCCGAGCTCGAACAGAAGGATACTATGGTGGTATACGCCTGCTGATGGCCATATGTGCCAGGTTCCATCAGTACTGCAGCGAGAAGCATATCAACCTGCCTCCTAAGGGCAACTTCACTCTTGCTTATGATACAAACATCCCCAGGCAGGTAAGCAAGCACCAGCATTACGTTATTGAGATCTGTCCTTGGCAATTGACCACACATCTGCACCTCCCAGTTGCGCAGACCAATAGCAGATGACATGCACTTTGGCGGACTGTTAAATACTCGGCAATTACTTTGCAGTATGAGTAAGATGACTCCTGAAGGAACAGATTGTCTGGAAAGAGATAAGCATAACTTCCGTCAGATATCTGTACTTGGCAGCTGCACCTTCCAGTTGCAGTCCAATGGCTATTGACATGCTTTGAGCAAGCGCCTCGTTTTCGAGGACCGTTTGCAAAGTCGGTTCCAGCCAATCTAAGTTGCACTATGGGTAGTTGACTAATAGATGGACCTATGGTCTGTAAGGCACCTATAGCGGAGATGAATGATTGCGAGGTAGATGCTGCTTTCTTTGCAGGCGGGTCTATCAGGTTCAAGTGCGATCATCTGTGCCACCCTGAGCTGCTTGATGAGATTCTACGAAGTAGAGGACCGCATCCCATGGGATGATCGCCCCAGTCTCATCCTGAGCGCCGAGGCGGACCTTGGCATCACCGCTGGGCTGCAGGACAGGGTCATCCAGGTAAAGTTGCTGTCAAGATTCTGGAAAGCTGCCTGATGCCTCTATGCAATGTGTTATTGCCTCGCGTCATTCAGCTGTAATACCTAGTTTGCACCAATCTGGATGGTCCGTGGGAACGTCCATCCGATATGTGACTTCCAAGCTGCTTTACTTACTGCACAGTATTGGGGTCTGATCCATCATTCCCATGATACTCATTCTTTGTGCTCGAGTCTCCCAACCCAAGCTCGTCTCACGCTGTTTCCTCTTGCCTTTCCTGCAGGTTTATGGCGGCCTGGTATACATGGTAAATCCCAATTCTAAAGTGACTTGACTATTGCAGGGGTGTCGAAGGAACTTCCTGGGTCTGTGCATCAAGACTTAGCGTGATCGCAGCTTCCCTGTTCATGATGGGCTCTTACATCTTGTGCTTTTCGAGTTCCCAGCTGGCCAGAAATGCGAGATTCTAAAGATTCCATCCAATTGGTAACAAACCGTTATACATCCCCGCTGCTTGAGGGCACGTGCTTTGGAAAAATGTTCAATGTGGTCCTGAGAACCAAACTTCCCTCCATAGGCCACGTGCTCTACCATTTCAGGACTTTGAGCGAGAGCATCTTGCGAAGACTGGGAATGGAATCTACACGCCTTTAGACCCGGCTCTTTTACCAGCGCTTCAACTCATCTACGCTCGTAACCCCAGCGACTCTGGTAAGGTGAGGCTCCAACGATGGCTGTTGCTCACAGATCTTGAAATCCACGAATCGAATATACTTTGCTTGGACGAAGACCTCTGCACATGTACCGGTGGGAAGCTTCCTCAGAGAGAGACAGAGCTGATTTGAACACGTTTGAATGACGCTTAGGGCAGTGACAAATTCTGAATCAATCGCCTGATGTAGCTTAGGGCGCTGACCTTCTGCAGATAAGCGGCAGCAAGGATGGCACGAGGCAGAAGACCTGCACACGGGGCGTATTGATTCCGTTACCCGATGAGGGCTGACGGGAACTGTATTGCAAGAGCAGGAGTTCGATCTTTGTGCACTCGAATCTCTGAATTCCAATACGGGATTTTAGCTCGTGCGACACCATTGCCCCTGAGCAGGTGTCGCACAGGTGGCAGGATTTGCCCGATGCTCCATCGAGCAGCATACTGCGTCCCTTAATGGTCAAATTCCCCTTCCAGGGCATTCCCAAGGCCACCCTACTCTCACAAATTCGGTGTTTCCGGACATGGATCGCACCCATCGCAGAACAAGTTTGGGCCCGCAACTAACTTTGGAAGAGATGAGCGTGCTTTAAGGATTCGCAACACAACGCTTGTTTCTGACAGGTGCACAGTACGGTCAAGAAAAGGTGGCTGGAAGGTGACCTTGGGATCCGGACCGCAATGGAAGAAGTCGCATCGATTGCGGAGGAAGGAAGAGAAGCATTGGAGAAGGGCGACCATAAGGCGATTGCTGAGCTTATGAATCGAAACTTCGATCTACGGAGGTGAATTCATAGAACCCGTGCTTGCCAGACGCATGATGAACAAAACTCTCGGCTCTCACGCTTCGAACTCTCGACGCGCAAAAAGCTCAGCCTTTTCCTTCGACTACAACCCCGCCACTTGTGAGCATGATGACCGATTCTTTCTCTGGATTGACTACAGCTAAGGTGTCTTACTTTTATGAACCACAAAGAACAGATATTCGCTGTCGAGTGTGATATTTCGTGTTGCTTGTCTCCAATGACACCTTTCCGAAAAGACAAGTTGTATGCGCTGCCTGGTACTCAAAGCTTTTCTCTCCGCCTGACGCTTCAGCTCGCTGTCAGGAGGAAAGAAGCACGAAACTGGTCATTCCTCACAGGCGGTAGATCGGTCCGCATCTTGATCGTCGCGGGGTCAAAATGCCCAGTGGACGAGTGGATAGCATTTTGAAACGTCCTGCGCTTTTCCTTTCAGGCAAATGTTTGGAGATGAGGCTTTAGGCGCGATGAACATCGACATGGTGATGACAGCCCGGTCGGTTGGAGCAGCAGCCAAGTTCACGGGCAGCGGAGGGGCGGTCGTGGCGTTTTGCCCGCAAGGTTCGGATCAAGTGAAAAGGCTGTCAGAAGCATGTGACAAGAAGGGCTTTACTATGGCACCAATCCAGGTGGCCCCTTCGAACGTCCAGGGCGATAACGTCGTTGCAATGGGGGAAGTTTGCAAGAGCTTCGTGGATCGAGACACTGGTGCTTGAGAAGAACTCTGATGGCTGACATCCTTCTTCAGAACCATTCTATCTTGGATCGAGGGAAAGCGGACACCGTGTCGCAAATCATGTACCTTTCGTGACCAGAGAGGTCCGATCACAATCCACTGACGCAGATGCACTGCTATCGTCACGCGCGCGTCAGCTAAGCTCAGCTATTCATACCGGAACCAAGTGTCGGGCAAGTTACATAACAGATTTTGGATCGATCGCGCCCGATCCAGGTACGTATTGCTGTGATCTATTCAAATGATCATTCGGTACATGCAATAGTATGTGTCATTTGGGCGCGTCGGGACTTCATAGGAGGTATGAGACTCGAGAGATATAGCCAGTCCGGGTTTTATAGCACACCTTGAATCGTGTGTACGGGCAACCTCATGGTGCATTTAATCATGGCATTCGAGGGCAACGGTGCATGATTCGAACATGCATGGGCACTTGATGCAGATCTAATGATCATGCCGGCCACGTTGCATTGAGTGCCAGGCTGAGCCTGTGATCGACTCACATATGCTTTTAAGTCAAAAAACCATCATGTGATCGCGAATTCAAGTGATTGGCAGCCCAGGCGCATGCGGGGCGGCACAATGTTGCCATGCGTGCCTCACTGACTTCAACAAGTCATCATCGAGCGCAAAGTTGTTTTGCAAACACACTGAGGAACACAAAACCGCAGGCTTAACGCGGCTCCACGTTGAATAGTTGCCACTTTGATTCACCAGCGTCACCTTCGCGGCGTCCATTTGATTGACAAGTATTCTTTGCCATATGTACAATCATGATCGGGGTCAGACAAAGACGGACAATTGCCGAGCACCGCACGTTGAAGAGTACGTAGCCACCTGCAGAAACAGAAGTGCGTGATCAGCTAAGTACGAAAAACCTCGTCCAATCGATGGTGAAATTGCAAATTGAAACGTCTAGGCGGCCGCGCCACAAACTCTGGTTGGCATGATGGCAGCACGCATGCGAGCCTAAGATTGACATCTCCATGCAGCTTTGATTTCGGCGAGCCTCGCCCACACCCGAAATCACAAGACATTTTGTTAGTTGAAAGAATCTCTGCCCTGTTTCCACGATTTGTAAGTGAGTTCCACAAGGTATGGCCGGGTCGCACCGGACAGGGACAAATTGTCCGTGCCTTGGACTCAGGGAGTTCCACAATACTGTCATGTCCGTCGTGCGCGGGTTGCATCGAACAAGGCGGCTGCTGCCTCCGTTTGATTCGAAGGCAATGTCCGAGGCTACAGGTAACCTGGTCTATGCTCGAGAGGACGATCGTGTCAAAAATTCGAGGAGAGGTTCCTTCAACGTGAGCGTCGGATCTAGCTGGGGTAACAAGGGACCAATCCACGTCCACTCAAAATAAATCACGAAAAGCTTGGCCTACCTTTGTCTTAATGAGCTTGTATGCTCCAGGTCCTCCTTGCCGCTGCAATGACGAAACGCAACGTGAGTGCGTCCGCTTAATCCGAGTCACTCACAAAACTATGAACCCCTGACAGTCGGATGCCAAAGCACCAAAAACATATTGTAGGTGGTGCTAAACTCGGGAATACTTCAACGCAGAATGGGCGCCGACATGTGCCGTTCCGGCGACAAAGCGGCGCCGCAGAAGCACGCGACTCAGAAACGCCATTCAGTCCTAGCTAGGCCTTCAGCACCTCGTTGTCACCTCTTCGCGCCAGAGAGAAGGATCCATTGCCAGTTTGTGAAATAGCTTTCAGCACCATTTCGACGATTTTCTGCGGGCCCCTAGATCTCCGAGTAGCAGTCGCAGGACATGCACAAGGAAGCTGCTCCGAGATGAAACCACAAACGCTGTCGCAATGCTCATCTTGGCTACTGACCACTCCGCATTCGCCTCCACGACTTCTAATACGTTGGCCACTTGAGCGGGTAGCTCGAGTTCTTAGGAAGTATTGCTGATTTTCGCTGTGAATGGCTGGTAAAGGAGACAAAATCCTGAATCTGCTGGCTGCAGTGCAACAGTGGGACCAGGTTTTGACTGGCTCGAGCCGCACGTACGCCTCCTTACCTCCAGAACTTGGAGCGTCTCTGTCACGGGGCCCTGCAAGGCTTTATCGAATGACTTCTTGGCAACCTGCAGCAGGGAGGAGGTATGTGTGACCCCTTGTCAAGCCGTTGACTGATCCGTTCCCCCAGAGGACGCTTTCATGCCTTCATGTTCAACGCGAATCTACAATGGATTCGGAATTGTGCAGAGTAGCTGCTTCGAGCATCTAGGGAAGCGTCAAAGGACAATCAGGAATCCGCAAAACCGAATAGCGCTCTAAGATGATAATGAGAAAAGCATTGGTGATAGTGAGGAAGGGTCTTCTGAGAGCAACAGTTGTGTGAGTCATACTTTGACGAAAGCTCCGTGGGGAGGATGAAGGTATGAGTTCGGCAACATGAACCCGTCGATGGCAAGGTGTAATTGACAAGAAGAGGAGATAGTCGACAAAACGAATCCGCATCTCCCTACCGAGGCCTTCTAAGGGGGCCGCAACGAGAACGTTTGTAAGAGCCGCAAGGTATCCAATCAAGAGCTCACCTGGCCCAGGAGCACTGGGAGATGGGGGTTCAAGGCCTCTCCCACCGCCATCGAAAGCTGGCTGCACGGCAGAGAGGTAGCGGGGATCATCAGACCTGGCACCCCACGTCCCCTCCAGCTGATGACACGAGCTTTTCCTGAGCCTAGATATTTAAGGCTCTAACATACAGTTCGCGGTTCGACAAGACCAGGTAAGATTGTACGGGGGTCGCACCTGATTGCCGTCAAGCCCCGCAAGAAGACGTCCTTGTCTGCGTGCATCAGGGCAGCTCGGATGGGACCGATGAGCTGCCCGAGCAACGGCTCCGTCTTGCTGCGGGCGTCCTGGAGACAGGTGGGCTTACAGCATGTGAAGGGGAATCTTCAAGGGAAATACCAGAACGTTGAGAGCTAATAAGCACACGGTCGCTTTCACAGAGTCATAAGTCATAAGTCATAAGTCATAGGAGTCTGGTATGAGTGACGAAAGTCTCAGGACAAGCTGCACAGTCCACACGGACTGATGTACGCCGATCGACTGCCAGCTATACAAAACGGTTCTGGACAGGTACCAAACAGCTGGCCTGCCGGTGTAGATCATGGCAATAAGCTGCTTCTAGAATTCTCTATAGGAGTTGTTTTTGCACGTACCGCCTTCAATCTGGATGATTCATGTCTGGGAACGTTGAATCTTGAGACGATCAAGCCCTCGTACCAAATGCAGGCACCAAGTACTCAAGAGTCTCCGCTTACCTGCGCTTGCATCAAGTGCTCGAACGCCTCTGCTGCCACGAAGTTGTACGGATGCTCCGTCTCCCTGCCAAGCGTCACCTTGAGCTATGAGCTCTTACGAGTTTTGACATAACACATCAAAAGCCTTCAGATAACAAGTGCGGTTGCCAACATCCCTTTGGCTATTGACAGCATCTGTGGAGGATGGCCCCAGGTTCTGTCTGACACCTTTAAGATGGCCCAGAAGCCTGTGTGGCAACCCTCTTTCATAATTATGATGCACTTAACTAGCTGTTTGTGGGACTGATGAGTGTTCTGAATCTCTTACCTCAGCCCCTCTGCTACTGTCACCAGGAGCGGGTTGTAGTCTAGGGAGCTGGGTGGCTCGTCCCATTGCAGGCGGCATCTTACAGACCCATGATTCACTCGTGCTGGTATCTTGCCAGCGTAGTAAGCAGCTGAAAACGGGCTGCCATGCAGCAGAAGCACCGGAACTCTGTCAATCCATGGGGTCTTGATTCACCCATGCCATCAGGAGAGTATCCGGACTTGTGGAAGTCTGGCCATGTCTAAGTAGCTTGCGCTTTCTCTTAAAGGACCAGCACCCCACTGCCTCACTCTTGATGTTTGAACTCCCCTCAAGAGCATGCTCTATCTGGGGCTTGGAGTTCACCGCCTCAGGTTGTTTCTGACTTACTTCACAGTACCAAGTGACCATCATGGCTGCAGTTGGCAGTTTCGAGTGCTAGTAGAACGCAGAGGTTGTTGATTACAGGCGTGAATGATTGCTTGCAGCAAACGACAAATCGGCAGCAAGATGAAATCACTCAGGGGAGCTGACCAGTGAAGGCCTGAGACTAGGTTCTGACACCGATTTAAAACTCAAGCATTCTGGCACCGCACGGACTTACGTTTTATGTTCTTTCTTCTTTGCAAAAGGGTTCGATGTTGGGATGTTGAGTTTGCTGGAGGGCAGAGGTAGGAGTTTTGGTCCTGCACTGTTGTTTGAAGAAGTCGTCGGACTTCTCTTTGAGATCCGGGATCCGCCACCGCTCTGAGGCAGGCTGGCATTGCTCGTGCTGTTTCTATGTGGATTCACTCCGGATGCCTGCCTGCTTTGCAATGCTGGCGCTTGCGCACTAGCCTTGAAGCCTCCCCTGTTTTCCATGGTCGCGGTTGCTGGAAACGCCTCCAGGTCTACCACAATGATATCTGTTGGTTCTCCATTGCCTGCCGCCGCCTGATTGGCATGCAAAGGCAAAGCTTTCTGCAAAGGTTTATTCCGCGTTGCAGCAGGCTTTCCTCTTAGCTAGTGAGAATTAGGGTTCGGCCATTCCGGCGCTGGTGCGGAGCTCCGCTCAGAGTCGTAGGCGCAGCGGCATAAAGAAATTCCGCAAAGAAGGCAAGCTCATCGCACCGTCCAAAGTATACCACGTGAAACGATCTACGATGAAGCATTGCCAGAGGCGCTTTTCAAATGTCTCCCGCAGATGCTTGCTGGCGTCGCTCGGGAACTGCGAATTAGTTGCCAAACTTTGAGGTCGGTGGAGGACGCTCCACAAGTAGCTTCTGAGTGCTTCTCGACGAATCGAACCGTCGATTGCTTGAGGATCCTCACATCTACCGCCGATCGATACTATAGTAATAGTAACACCCAACCCTAATCTGGATTCCCCGAGGGAAAGAGGCACGACCTGTCAAGTTCCTTGCGACAACGGTGCTGAACTGTTACCAAGGCGTGGGAATGGTTCCTTTACGTGCTGGTAATGGCTTCCCCTTCAAATTCTAAAATTCAAAACGGGTTCAAGTTCTCCTGGACCTCAGAAGCAGCCGCGCTAGCTACGGTACACGCCCCTGACTGGCATGGCAACAGGAGGTCTCGTCCCCAACGCTCCTGGAGGGGTTGGGGGTTCCACAGCAGAAGCAGCTGCTAAGCTGGATGCTAATGACAGGAAACGTTCTGGGGATGACACATTTGAGGGAGACGTAGAAAGGCGGGTGAGGCCCAAGGTGAATTTGCCTCTGGGGTCTCCAGACCAGGGGCTGGAAGAAGCAGATGGGGAGTCTCAGGAGGAGCTGGACACGCGGCTGAGGGCCCTCGTGGAAGTTGCTTCTCAGCGCAAGGGCGACGTAAGTGTGCGGAGACTTGCTTTCTGCTGCAAGGTCAAGCGTGTCATCTCATGTCTCACTTCTCATATGCTGCTAAATGTACCTGCGTCGAATATTTGCATTTCACTTATTTTACCGTGTGTTCTTTTGCAGAGCCCGCTTCCCGAGCCCCCCCGCAGCCTCTTCCAGGGCGCTCTCCCCATCCCTTATGGGTCAGCAGCCCCGCCTGCCCCGGCATCTTTGAGTCAACCCACCCAAGAAGCGCTTGGGCTGGGCAGAACAGGGGAGTACGGGGGAGCTCAACCTGCAAGGGCCTCAGGAGGAGATAACTTGGCCGACGGCTCCTGGTCAGGCCCCCCGGATGGGCCGCACAGGCTGGCTGCTGCGGGCCAGCCTCTTCTTCCTCGGGAGCATGTTTTACCGCAGCAGCTGCTTCACCCTGAGCTGCACTCAGAACAGCCGCACGCCCTTCGGGCGACAGACTCTCTGAGTGCAGAAGAAGGCGTCCCGATGGAGCGCACAGAGCAGTTCGGCGAGGGGGAAGATGGGGAGGGGGGCATGCAGATGGAGGAGGAGGCGGAGCACGGGTTTGGGCCCTCGCACGGGTTTGGGGCCCATCCCGAGCAAATGTATGGGGAGTATGCAGAGCACGGGCAGTATGTGGTGCACCAGCAGTATGCTACTGAGGAGGCGCAGCAGCTGGCAGAGCACGCAGGTTAGGCATCCGCATCTGAGACTGGATTGACAAGCCATGTGGAGTTTCTAAGTCACATCCTGATGGGACTTCAGGCACATAATGTAGGGATGCAGGCTAGGGACAAAGTGAGTGATGGCTTGTTGTTGCCCCTTCTGTGGACCAACATCCACAAATGTGGATAGTTGTTCGAGTACGTCTGGCTCTTGCAGTGTAATCACCCGGCCCGGGGGCAGGTGTTGGAGTAGGAGTGAAAGATTGTGCCAATGTGCATACAAGTTTCAATCACTCTTCTTAGCTCCTCTCGCTCTCAAATCCAGAATGAAAAGCTCACTTCGTCTATTGTGCCTGAAACCATAACACGAAGAGGCCTTTTATGGCTGCCCCCTGCACGTCTGATCCACCCTCCTCCGCAGATTGCTCAGACCGGGTTATGTGCTGTGTAGTGCAATGTTCTTTCCAAAGCACCGGTTGTCCCCTACTGCCCTTGCGGCTTGGACCTTCGCTTCTTTAACTTGAAGTCCTGAAACCCCTTTTTTTGTGTGTTCTGTTGATGACCACTGCATGGGTCCACGTTCTTATTGGTGTCAACTTGCCCCTAACCCCGGTACTTAACCCCTGGTTTAATGTGCCCCAGGTTTTGGAGGGGGCCACATGGAGCAGGAGGAGGACGAGGGCGCGCTGGCTGCGTTGGACCTGGTGGAGGTAGGTTTCCCGCGCAGCAGCGTGGAGGAGCTGCAGACGCTGCCGCAGCACGACCTCATCACGCGTGTGCTCGACCTTGAGGAGCGCATCTCTGCCGTCGTGCGCGAGAAGCAGCTCGAGGCCGCCGCGCGCCAGGAGGCCGAGGACAACGCCGCACGCTACGCAGGTGCGCTGCAGGCTGTCCTTTGCCCTTCAAAAGAGCCCTTGTTGAACATTCAAGTGGCATCTCAGCAATAGAAGGGTGGCGCTTGTTGTTGCTGACTTGTTTTGCAAAGCTGCTGCGGTTCACTAAAACCTTTCAGTGAGGTCCAGGGTCTTGCACATTGTTTGCTGGAAACTGGTTAAAGCTCGGCAAGAACCAGTCATCGACAACTCAAGAGCTACACCTCTCTTCTCTTGGCTTGTTCCCTGGTCATGATCCGACGCTGATAGGGAGATCTGCCACCACCGGGGGCGAAAGAGTTTGATCCGATTGTCACACCATATACTGAATGCATCTGATACAAAGCTTGCCCATAAATATACCTTTCTTCGCACTAAACCTCGTTTCCTTTTTCTCCAGAGGAGAGCCAGCAGCTGCGGCAGGTGGTGCGCGAGAAGAACGGCTACAAGAAGGGCGTGCTCCAGGAGATGGCGGCCCTGGAAGCGCCCCCGCCGGGCCACGCGCAGATTGCGGGCCGCTTCACCATCACAAGGGAGAGTTCGCCAGGGGGGGGCCTGCGCTTGGAAAAGGGCAACAAGGGCAAGAGCAAATCTCACTCCCCAGTCAAGGAGAAGTGGAAGGCTGAGTGGAAGAAGGCCGCTTCTCGTAGTCAGTACGTTCCTTCTGCCAGCCAGATGGGAGGGGAGGAGTACGGGGATGCGGGCGTAGAGGGGCTGAGGCAGCCTGAGAGAGTGAAGGGCATCCGGAGCAGGAAGGTGGGGCCAGCGCAGGCAACACCCGCGAGCAAGCTGCTGGCGATCCTGGGGGCGGAGCCTGATACGGGGCCGCAAGGTGGGGCGCCTATTTCTCTCAAATTGGTTTCGAAATGTGACAAACTTGGTTGGACTGATACGTGAGTGAAGCAGATAGGGTCTTCAGGTCCGTTCGAAGCGCTTTGTGCCGTTCCCACACAAGAGGTGTCCCCATGAGATACGTTTCAGGGGGTCGTTCGGAGTTGTTGTTTTAGTGCCACAACTTCGTCATTTGAGTTGGTTCGTGCAAGTGTTTCTGACGGGAATCATAATGACTCGGGAAATTGAGCGCTGTATTTTCCCGGACTTTTTGAGGCACACCAGTGCTCTTTCAACTGTGCGGGCCTAAGCTAGCTGTACTTAAAGACAACACGCACCTTTGATATCTTTCGATCGACGAATGCAAGCCTGCCTAAAGATTGCTTTTTTGCTTGAGAGCGCCTTTCAGGCTCTCTTGTCTCACTCCCAATAGATAATATGCAATGAATCTTTTTTGCAGGTCACGGGCCCTCAACCGTTTCAGTCTGAGCGTCCGCCGTTTGTCCTCTTTCCCTCCCGTCAACCGACACCCACCCTTCCTCTGTCGTGTCGAATTCGCCAGGATCTTCTTATCCACTCCGTTTGCCCCGCTTCCCACAGATGACGACGAGGACGAGGATGACAACGACGACCGCAGCGACGAGGAGTATGTGGCACCACCCTCCCCAGCGCCGCGGCCAATTGCGCCTGCGGGCCCCTCCCCAGCACGCACGTCGCGCGCCGAGTCGACGGTGGGCCTGGAGGACCTGAGCGAGTTTCTGCGCACGTGCTGCCAGGCGAAGCAGACGGGCCACATGACGCTGCACCGCGTGCTCTGGTACACCTACCTCGCGTGGCGCCAAAAGATCGCCTCGCCGCGCCCCTCCGTCTCCAGCGGCGGCGTCGGCCTCAGCCAGTGCATGCAGAAGCTCGGGCACCGGGAACGGCTGTTCACGCGCGAAATTCAGGTGGGTGGGCTGGAGTGCGCAAAGCGTTTCGTTGTTCAGATTTGCCCACAAAGAGTTGTTTCGTAGGCTTTGCCGTATCCTTTGTTGGGGGTCGGCAGCTATCGGCCTGCTGTTTCGTTGCGACCTCCTTTCTTGGAGGAGACAAGGCTGTGTTAGCCTTCGAAAGTCGGAGCTGTCGTTTCTGAGAAAGTCTTGCAGACGAAGTACTGGGTTACTTACATGAATCAACAGGTTTTGCAGGCTTGTCAGATTGCATCAAACACCAAGTTCATAAAAGCAAGTTCCGTTGCTAAACAGAAGGTCTCTCCGACGTCGTGCAGGCCAAGAAGGCTGGGTGCAAGGGCTACGAGGGCGGCGGCAAGTACTGGATGGGCCTGGTGGTGCTGGACAAGGCGCTGGTAAAGACGGGCCGCCAATGGCTCGCTAAGGCCAAGCGCACGGGCGGCAGCAACCGGGTCACCTTCTCCCGGGACTCTGCCTCAATAAAAGTCAAAGCCAGCGAGCCTGCCGACGAAGAGGACAATGACGAAGATGCTGCAGAAGTATAGGCTAATTGGCCTTTGCGTCGTCGGGGTTTAGTGGACATGTCCGGTGGGACCCTATCCTCAGTAAAGAGGATGGGTGTATAGTCGTATCAGTGATTGAAAAGGTGGGCTTGGCGGCTTGTTGGAGGGACGGCAGAAGAACGGCCGCGAGTTTTGCAGGCATGATGCGCTGCCGTTCCTCCAATAGAGTCAGGAAGTCAAGGATCGTTTTGCCCGTTGTTTTAGCAACGTAGTTTAGAAAACTATATCCTTTGCAAGGTCCTGACGAGAAGGGCCTTGAGACGAGGTTCCTTGTGGCCGAAGTCCCGTCTAGTTTGGTTCAAAGTTACCGTTGTCTCCATATTTGCTGCTTCGTCCCGTGTAAGGAGGCATGAGGGCGCTTACATATCGATGTTTCAGCTCTTGTGGTTCTCTGTGGAAGCGCTGCAGCCCTTGTATGTTTTTTAAGGGAGGAAGAGGTACGAAGTTACAATGCTCACTCGTCCAGAGCTTCCGTCGAGAACAATTTGAGGCAGCTAGGTTAGCTGCAGTGACGCGACAAACAACGGGCTTAGTTTTGCTATACAATCAAAGCGTACAAATGCAGATGATTGCATGCACATGTGACCATGTACGCATGAGTTATATGCAAATACGCAATAACATTCGAGCCGTGCACATGATGCATAACCAAGCCGGATTGACCATATGTATAATTCTCATTTCCGCTGCGCATTACCCGGTGACGTACTGCGCGGTCGTGAATCTTTGTTTCCGCAGGCGGGGCTGCCGGTTGCCGCTTTTGCTCGGGCCGCCATAGCGTTCTAGAAGTAGCTTGGGGACATGCCCCTAACTCAGCCCGGTTGCTTGATGGAGAAGTGGTCAGGGAATTTGGATGAGATTCGTTTGCAGGATAAGGTTCGGAAGCAGTGTTGGGGGCGGCCGAGCTCCGAACCCAAGCACTGGGGAACAAAATAGCACCCGACCACTGTACCGACCAGCAATGCATATAGCAAATAGACTCAGAGCCTACCGTCGGTAAACTTTTTACTGTGCCGTTCGCGACCGGCCTACCTCAAATCACAGCCAACAAATTGAATCGATACCGGCCTCTACGAGTCATCGCGCGTTGGTCTACAAATTGCGTGTCAACGTCAAATCATATTAACATAGACCGCAGAGGCTGAACTCCGCGACCGTACGGTACCGGTTTTCGGTCTGACAGGTTTAGACCGCAGATATACTTGGCGGGCTTTCCGCGCGACGTGTGGCACAAATTTGATATCATGCTCGTGCGGCTGTACGGTCCTTGCACACTGTGCACGTGCAGCCACACTGTGCACGCTCAGACCGTTTTTGCCCGCGATTGACACTAGTTCTTCACTCCAGCTTGGCTGAGGCACATTTTGACCGTCGATGAAGATCTGGACGGCCAAAACAGCCTTATCCTGCACCGAGATCAATTTTGAGATCTGCAGTGGTGGCTTCTACGGCCTCCAAGTTAGGGGCATGTCCGCACGCTCCTTCTAGAACGCTATGCGCCCTAGCTAGATCCATGGAGCTACTGATTATTGAGGCAGAGCTCTCGGCATGCATTATTCAGGCCAGCAATATATTCCGAATGTGCTCGACCATTTCAGGCGCCTGCCTGCTCGTGAGCGGCCCGCATGCTAACCGAACTTCTGCGCACTTGAAGGCCTGACTGCTGGTTTTATCTTGGTACTGTCCTGGGACCTCCTATCCTATCACTCATATGTACACGTGGGGACTCCAAACACATAGCTAGGTTGTTTCGTCAT